CCCAGGTTGAGATCAATGGCGTCACAATAATCCTGAGCCAGCAAAGCTGCCTGAAGGAACACCTCTGGATCATTGGCACAAAACTGACACACAGAGGATGGAACACTGATTTAGATAAGGCAACAGCAGATGAAGCGATTAAGGTGTTGTAATGGTTACATTTGTTTCTTTCTTTGCCTCTGATAAGGAGGTTTTGAAATGGGCAAAACTGAAAATTTAAATTAAAAATGGACAAATAACAAAAGCCTGCACTTTGAATTTTTTTACTGCACCACAAACGTCTTGAAGTTTAAAAAGAAAATAAATAAATAGAAAATACAAAACTATTAAAAGCATTTTTAAATTACTGATATTACTATTTAAAAACAAACAAACAAAGAACTCAACTCAGTGTTGATTCTCACCTGTGCAATAAGAGGCCTGTCCTCCTCACAAACTTCATTATAGAGGTTTTCCCTCCTGTAGTTGGCGTCACGGACAAACACCTGAGCATGCAGCATGGGGGTGTAGCAAAGCTGAGCACCGTGTCGGCGGCTAAGCAAACGCCAAGCCAGCTCACTCTGGTCCACCATGGGAGCCACCACATAGCGTGCTGCTTTCAGAGTTTTCCTCCAAAACTCAAAGCCCTGAAGTTTGGCCATCACAGCTGACTTTGAGAGAAAAGGAAGGATAAGAGGTAAATGGACTGGTTCTTATATAGCTTTTCTACTCTACCTGAGCCTCCAATGCTCTTTCTATGCAGGTGCTTTCTATTCTATTCTAACATTCTCACACGTTCATTCAAACAACTGGGGGCTAGCATCTTGTCCAAGGATGTTTGGCATAAACACTGGAGCAGTCAGGGATCGAACCATCAACCTTGTTATTAGTAGATGACCTCCTGAGCTGCACAGGTAAAAAGTTATTTTCCTGCAGTTTCAACACAAAAACTCATCAAGGCGTGGGGTTTTGAAAACTAGCCAACTACCCCAAACCCTGTCAATATAGCTAAAATAAATAATAAAACAATAACGTAGAAGCAGGAAGAATAAGCAGAGGTATCCCATCAGGTAAAAGTGTAACAGATACATTTTTTCAACCCCAACCAAATGTCCAGTATTTAGCCTCTGACCCTTCAACGCTGTCTGGGGATTTTACTTTCAGGGCTAACTGTGTTATTTGGGCTGCAGTATAATTATAGTAGTGAACTGTCCGTTTTCTTTTTTATTTACATTTGGTTTAAATCGTCCACTTATTATTCAAATTAATTAACGAAAGTGTACTCTTTATTATTCCATGACAATTGGACAAATTGTGGCTCCAGTGTTACTAGCATGTATCACTGACTCTTCAACTGTGCCTGAACTCTGTCAACATGTAGCTAGCAAAGCTAACCGCAGGGAACAGACATGTACCGCATGATGTCCCACCGTAGTAAGAAACACAGCCACGAGCAGCTTAACAGAGAAAATATCCCAACA